TTGTCTTTTCATTTAATTGAAGGCAAGCTGTATTGGCTCATTATATTGAAAATGTATTTAAGAAAAATAAAATAGACATATTCAAGACTGCTTCCAACTCTCAGCTGCCTGAGCAGCCGCTGGAAGGATTCTATTATTAGTATAGAGAGTATGAGTATTTCTGCTTTGAACACTGTTTTAAATAAATGGTTAGAATGGCTTACTTGACTTTTCTGATAAAGTGGCTCATGGAGCCATGAAGAAGAATATGAGATATCTAGCAGACTTTCAGTTCTTTCAGAAGGCGTTTCTCCTCTGCTGATGGATTGCTTAACGTACATAGTGAGGCAAAGTCAGCTGTTACTTCTGACCCACTTTTAACAGTTCATGGCTCCTAAAGGGTGACATTTTGTAATGTAGAAAAATAACCAGTTTGATGAATTGCTTTTATGGTTTTTTAAAACTTTAAATGAGTAGAATTTGTGTATAAATATGAAATCACCAGCATAATGCTTACCAAATCTCATAAATGGTTATTTGTAATTCACTTAGCTGTTCTTCCAGTTAAGTAACTGACTAGTGCTCAGGTGCTGGGGGTGCATCTTCTATTTTCCCTTTTCTAACCAAATAAATAAAATTTCCGATTGTCCCTAGCCCAGTCTTCATTTTGGGGAGACTCATTCCATTGATCACCATGGTAATTTTCTGTGTTCGGTAGTATGTGAGAGCGTTTTCTGATTTGATGGGTCAACGTGGAAAAAAAATGAATCACATAGTTCTTGCCAATATTCTTAACCCTCATTAAAAAAAAAATCTTTTTGATTAATCCCTGGGACTATAGGTTGACTATGGAGCCAGAAATGAAACGGAAATTCTTAGATTTATTCTGATTTTAGAAAAGAGGGACAACTACTAGATGTTCTTCCAGAATGTTTGGAACACAGTACTGGTTTCAGGTGTGCTTGGGGAGTTTTAAACTCTCTCGAAGGGTTTATCTTACTGTGCTCTTTTCAGTTTAGTTGGACAAGAAACTGATCTGCCCTTTGGGACTAGGTACACCATATTTACAAAGTGACATACCAAGAGTGTGCTATTTAGTGTCAATTAAAAAGTTTCCCCTAGAAAAGATGTCTCAAGAAAGACTCCTTTCTATAATTTACTGTTCTGTTCCTTTATGGAATTGGTAAATATTAACAGTAAAAAGATTACTACTACTGGGGTAACACCTCATGTATTTGACATTATAAAGGGATGGATAAAATAATGCTAATTATTTCATGTTCTAGCTAAATAACATTTACTCTTCTTTTTTGATGTTTACCTTTTAAGCGATAAATCCATTTAATAAAAAAATATTTTGAATGAAAATCTTTCCAAAATTTATTGTACATTTCTTGCATTCTTAAACAGTTTTAAAACAATAGTGTCATGACAGAATGAATCTGATATCATTATTACCTTGTACTAAAGATTACTTTAATAGTTAGTTAAGGACTATAAGTTTAATAGTTAAGGACTAGTCAGGGTTGCCAGTGAGCATCAATCATAAATGGCCTCCTGCCACTCTTCAGGTTCTCGTGTCTACTCGTGCTGTATTCATTTTATAGGCCTGCCCTCCATCAGCACTTGTTGCTTTAACTCCTTTGGGTGAGGCTGTCTCTAAAGTCTATTCTTTAGTTTTGTGCAGTGAGTTAGGAAACTTGATTGATGTTGTTAGCATCATGTCTAAAATAAATGGGGATAGATTCTAGGTAAAGGTGTATTCTTTACTGTCTTTGGTTTTCTCTTTACCCTCCTACTCCCTTCTCTCTGTTTTGGTATATGCATTTATATAATTTTTTTTAAAACTCATTTCCACTTTTTACTTGTATTTGGTGTTGCAGGTCAATAACTTAGGCGAGTATTACGAATCAACTTGGATAAATGATACTTTCCTTTTGAGAATCTCAAGAGTTTTCCCCCTCTCATTCTGCTTTAAGAAAGAGATAGAAATGGAGAAAGAATTGGACTTGGAATTCAAATGATTATTTTGTTTTATTAGCTATTTCTTTATAAGCTTATTTCAAATAGCATCATCTGAGGTGTACTTTTATTGAGGTACACATTTTGAAAACTTAATTATTGAGTAAAAAAACAATCATATCTGGCACATATGTGCTGAATAAATACATTAAATGAATGAATAAAATGTTGAACTATATTTATTTGGCCTTATTATTTTCTAGTTAATCAGGAACAGTACAAGAGACTGGTATCAGTTACAAAATGTCCAAGAGGAGATAAGACAAGAACCCAGTTTTAGCACTTATTTTAAATAAAAAGTTTGATTCTTAGATAATCAGTAACCAAGGGAGGAACATCCTTAGTCACTATTGTAGTTCCATATTTAGAAGGCATTATTCTTTTTATAGTTAGTATTCTATACAAATGGGTAATGTGCATATATTGATTTGTTGTATAGAAATAAAGGTTTTTTCAAATACAGTCTTAAAATACAGTCTTAAAAAATGTCTTCATGTTTGTAGAAGTTCAGTAAATTAAACACACAACACTGTTACTGAATCTGTGGCGCTCCCCTTCCCACAGAAGCTATTTCTTTTCTTTTTAAAAATTATAGTGGTGCTTTATTTTATATTGTTCTTCATATAACTTCTATCCTTAAGACACATAAAATTTTGGAAATCATCATTTTCCCTCACCAGCACTGCAGAAAATTTTCACCCTGTCTCCACTCCGGTGACTATGTTCAGATAATAAAACAGTGGAGCCTATTTTAAGTGGATTTAATAAGTAACATTGTGATCTGTGCCCAGCAGGTATTTTTTTAAATGTGTAAGTTATGTTTTTATATAGACAGCTTTTAGGAGACTTTTTTTTTTTTTTTTTTTTTTGCGGTACGTGGGCCTCTCACAGTAGTGGCCTCTCCCGTTGCGGAGCACAGTCTCTGGACTCACAGGCTCAGCGGCCATGGCGCACGGGCCCAGCCGCTCCGCGGCATGTGGGATCTTCCCGGACCGGGGCACGAACCCGTGTCCCCTGCATCGGCAGGCGAACTCTCAACCACTGCGCCACCAGGGAAGCCCTAGGAGACTTTAAATAGATCATGTGAGGAAAAAGAAAAAGAAAAGAAACAAATTAGGTGGCCGGATGTTATTTGGTAAAGCATACTTTTGTTTACGTTCACCATGTGATTATTTATAAATCTGGCCCTTATTGATGGGTCTGTTAATATTTAAAGAACACTAGAAAAGGAAATTGACTTTTTCTTTAAGAAGGAATTTTGTTTTATTTAATTCATCAATTTATATACTTAAATATAGATATATAAGTAAATATGTGTATGTTTTGAGTGTGTATATCCACAAACATAACGTACACACTCTAAGACTGATTCAGTTTTTATGACCCCTTTTGAAAAGTTGATCTAGTGGTTCATTTAAAAAATATGTATATCTTTTTAACAAGAAGAATTGACAATATGTTCTTGATTTAAGCCACTGGAAAATTACTACCAATATTCCCTAATTAGAACTGGATTTAGGAATCAGGAAGCAGGTTTTAGATGAGAGCTAGTGAAGTATCTGAAATCATGTAATTTGGCCCATTCATATGGAGCAAGGAATTCAGGACCATGGAAGTCAGGGCTTATTCCTGGCTCTACCCACCTTATGCTGGTGGCTTTGGGTGAACCATTTCATCATTTTTCTATAAAACAGAGATGATTATTCCCGTCCTTACCCCCAGTGTTGTAGTGGACACTTGGAAATATTTGGGGGTGTTTTTGTTTGTCATAATCACTGGGAGCTACTTACCTGTGGGACCAAGGAAACCAG